GGCGACAAAGCCTTCTCCATAGCTGCCCCCTTCCCTCTGGAACTCTCTCAACAAACAAATCTGAGACTGTACTGATCCATGCACCTTTAAATCCCTGTTTAAAACCCACCTCTTCAGAACTGCTTTTAATGTTCAATTCAATGTTAAGTGTTGTAGACATATATCTATATTTTTTTTAGTGTGTTGTTTTTATTACCTTTTGTTTTTACTTGTGTGAAGTGTCTATAAATAAAATGTATTATTATTATTATTAGTAGTAGTAGTGGCCATTTGTTAAACGATGTACACGGGTAAAAAACAGTCCATTGTCCATTCAAAACTTTTGTGTTTCGTAAGGTCTATTTTCTCCTAAACAAGCAAGCAAACAAACAAACAAAGAAATCCCAGATGCTGCATGCCTGTCAAAAGTCAAATAAAACATCAGCTTACCCAGATGCATGCTGGTCCTAAAAACAAAACACTAATTACGCAAAACTAAAGACACAAATAATAATAGTAACAATTAAACAAAACAAATAATTAGCAAAAGAAAATACTATCAAAATCTAAATAAAGCAAACATATAGACAGATAAAAGAATACTTACTATTGATAAAACAGCAACTAAATACTAACAATTAAATAGCTGTATGGTGTTTCTTTGTCATGCTTGTTCTTTTTTCCATGCTATTATTAAAACTGTATCTCTTAACACCTCTTGTGTTGTATGTGTGTTGTTGCCCGGTTCAGCAGCCACTGAGTCTGTGAGCGATAGCTTTAATTAGTGAGAGAAAACCTGAAAAACTGGACACTTGTCATTTGTGGAATGACAGTGATGGGATCCCATTGTCCTTGAGATCACATGACCTCATTATGTGAAAGGGAAGATGTTTTCGCTTGAGCGCAGTTGACTGCTGTGCCTTTACGTCTCTTCTCTTGAGTGTAGAAAACTCTTGTTTACGGTGTGCATGTTTGGTCCACAGCCTGACTGACTATGAACATTGTTATTTTTGTAATGTGTTTGTGCCTCCTTCCTCCTGTGCAGCCTGATGACATGGACAAAAGTAAGTAAATTAAACTATTAAACACTACAACTCTGCTAACTTGGTTTCCTCAGGCATCATGGCATTTGTAGTTTGGCATGTCTTGGTTTCTGTTGGATAGTTGCTGTAGCTTGCTGACTGTTTTCTTCCTTAACAGACTCCTACTGTGAGAGTTGTCTAACAGCTGCACAAGGTATGGTAGATAACTTTGCCTCATGGAGCAACCCGCACTGAACTGTCACCTATGTGACACTTGTTTTGAATGAATGGTTTGTTATGACTTTATATTTTCTTTAAGACATAGAAAGTAAATAAAAGCATAATGCATACTGCCCTCCAGAGATTGAGAAAGCCATGAAGGAAGCCCCGGCTGAGAGCAGACAGACAGTAGTTGAGAGCCTCATCAGTGGGGGTGTGTGTGTGAAGCTGCTGTCCTACAAACATGACCGTGTCTCTCAGGCCAAAATGACATCCTCCTGCATGCACTTGTTTGGTAAGATCAGGATAAAATGACAATAGATTTGCATATTTGTTACACTCTAATTAATGATTTGTTTTTGAATACCAATGCAGAGTCTCATCATGACCAGTTCCATGTAGCTTTGGTAAATAAAGAACCAAAGAATCTGGTTATAGTCCTGTGCTATGAGCAGTCCACAGCATGTGTAGGGGTGAAACGCCAGTCTTTTGAGGTAGGCAATGGGTATAATTGGGAAACAGACACATTAATATCCATCTGATTAAACTAAATTTATCTTTTGAAACTAACATTGTTTAACTTTTACCACAGGATTCCAAAAAAAACACCTTTACAGAAAGTGCCATTGAAGCTCTTCTCCGGGACAACAAGGACAATGTACGAATTGCTCAACCTACACATTCAGGTGTGAAATCAAAAGACGAGTTGTGAAAACAGCAATGCCATTTTGCTTCCTACTGAATGTGCGATGGCTTGCTGTCATGCTACTGTATTTTTTGAATGTCAATATAATAAAGACATCATTGAAAAACATTGCCCTGAACTGTACATTATTCCTGGTGTGGTGGGGCTCTCACATCAGTCATGTAAAATACAGAATGCTTCAGACCCACTACAATTTATTTTAGAATTAAATAGGAGTCACAATAATAGCATAGTAGCACAATAAAAGCTGTATTGTTTTCCTAAAAGATCATAAAAACTATAAATAACATTGATGTTTGGAATGGCAAATACCACCTTTTTACCTTGGACAGCTCCATCATCCCCGGCGGTCCCAGGATCAGTACATCCACCTGAGCTGAACAGGAAAGCGGGGGAATCTTCTGGTCATCACAGCTATTGTTAGCTGACATGTGACATTCCTTCGTTGTGATCATCTCTGCAAAACAAAATGACAAAGAATAAATATGGATTCAATATGCAGTAATTTAAAAGAATATATACACAGTATACAACTCTCGGACAGCCCGTAAAAACAAAAAGAAATCACTGTGTTATTAACTGAAACAGAGACATTTACATATAGTGCATTCGTACTGGAGTTGCAAATGATAAAATATGATCATAGATATTAAAGTTGTTTTAGAAAATAGATCAATATGGTCTGTACTGTTACCTGCACAATGCTTAGATAATGATAATCCCAAAGCTGAAATACCACTACTTCTCCAAGGCTCTAGATCCCTAGGGGCCACCAAGAGCCCGGCTGGCCCTGAGGCTTGTTTTGTGGCAGTTATTGTGGTAATGTAATTAGGTGCAACATTGTTCGGGAATTTTGGAAATGTGCACTGCTAAAGCATCAACTTTGCTGCTGTGTTACCTGGTCTTTGGGCCTCTGTCTATAGAGTGGTCCTACATTTTTCATTTTATGATGTGAATACATGTAACAACATTACTAAATCAGCGTGCGTTTGACCCGGTAACCACACAGCAGCCCAGCAGCTGGTTTTGCCCTATGGCCCCCTGTAGATAAACCCCTGTAACGAACAGTGGGATGATAACTATTTTGTATCTGTCTCAAATTAGGTGATTTCAGACGTAAAAGACACAGCTCTCGTTCCATTTTTCTCAGTGTCACCCTTCCTCTGTTTTTTTTTTATAACCTCTTCCCCGCCATGACTCGTCGCACCAGTTGAGCAGAACGTTCTGTAAAGCATTCTAGAATCCTCTATGCTCTCGGTCCGTGAATGAAGTTGTTTAGAACGGAATCTCCGAAGAAGGCGACGAGGGCAGTGGCGCGAGCACCGTGTTGGAACGCGGCCCACGTGCTGTTGCTAGGAGGCGCTGTTGGAGCCCGGAAGAGCTGAACGGCGGTGGTGATGGGCAACCCGAGATTGAGAGGAGGAGAAGCATTAGGTTCATTTTTATAGCCGCACTTCGTTGTTTCCCTCTCGCCGTCGGAGAAAGGAGAGGAAGATATCACTTTTTCTCCATTTTGAAGGTAAGAGAGGCGCAGTGACCGATAGTCAGCGGTGTAACGTTATTATTAACTGTCATTCTGCCTGGGCACATCTGTACTTAAAACGTCTTTACGGCTCCAAAAGATGCCGGAAAATCGAGCATTTGGTAGATTATACCTTCAGAACCGCCGGTGTGAAGCTCGCCCTGTAACAGCTGGACACAAATGAGAGAACCTCTCCCACCTATGCTGTGCTGTCACTGTAATGAATCAGTGTACGTGTGGGGTAGCTAATTAGGCGACTGAAAACCACCAGGTTACCGTCGTGAGGACCCCAGGTTGGATGAAACCTAACCGAGGGATGGCGATTTTAAAAAGAGGAGCTCTACCGTGGAAACGAGTGAAAGCAGTTTTCACTGAAATGCTGTTTGCAATCCCATCCATACAACAGCTGTGCGCTTTGGCTAACGCCCTCTGTTACACTACCTGTCTGTTAGGCTCTGTATGATCCATTCACACTGACAGATATTTCAGGAACAAATATTGATCAGACACACGATCCCCTATCCATGAGACACGGAAATGGAGCTCAGTCAGCAGCAAGGTCTGACAGAAAGGAATGGCAGGAATGTGATGAGTGTGATAAAACCACTAAGGGCAGACAGACCCTCTTTTGTTGCAGGCTGTGTGTCCTGCTCGTCCACTTATGGTCCCAGATGTTTTTTTCCTCTAGTGATCCACACCCAGTGCAGTCATGTCACACTGACTCGTGGACGTCCCTCTAATCCCACACTCTCCCTTTAATTTAACAGCTGGGCGACGAGGCTACATGGTGTCTGTCTCCCATCCGGAGTGTGGATGTGTGGGTGTCCAGACATGGAAAGCTACGAGGAGTTTTGTCTGCGGAGTTTGGCCATACTGCAGGAGGAAGGGAAATTCAAGAGGACGACCTGCGAGCCACTGTTGTCCCTGAAGGCTCGCTCTGGCATCCGCTTCCATGGAAGAGCTGTGCTTTCGCCTCTGGTAAGGAAGAGAAGGACATGAGGAATGAGCCTAAGGAGATGACACAAAGTGTAGCTGAACGAATCAAAGTGTTTTTTTTAAAATCAAAAATTAAACGCAGAAGCCGCAAGCTAATGATGTTTTGTTGGTGTTATGCTGTTGCTGTTGTAGGAGTTGCTTCACTTTCTTCTCTTCTCTTGTACATAGTGTTTTTCCTTTATTTATTTATCTATTATTTTCCTACTCTTAACTGTTTGTATACTGTTTTTTTCCTCTATCCACTTTGCTGCTGCAACATCGGAATTTCCCCATTGTGGGACAAATAAAGGAATTTCTTTTTAAGGGGTTTGCAGTTGGCTTGATATCCAGAGCTAGTGATTTGTTTGCTTTTTAATGACAAAATGTTTGGCTGGTATCCCTAGAGAGTCTGTGTAACTCTCGCCGTCCCGCTGCGCCTGTGTGTTTGTATCTCTACATAGTTACAGAAAACATAGGGTACACTTATCAGTTACAGTAACAATGAGAAGGATGTTTAAACATATTTCAGGCAAAAAAAACACACATGTGCACAGAGATACATAAGCACACAGTTAACAGTCATTTAAAGGTAATATTTAGGAAAAAACACGTCTTTTTTTTAGCCCTACAGTACATAGCATATCTGAAACACGTGGGCTGACTAGTCCCAATTAGATCAGCAGTTGGCAAGGCTGTTTGATGTTAGTCTGCTAGTGACTGCTGACAAAATGAGTCCTCAGGAATAGCCACATGATGAAGAGGCCAGGCAGAGGCTGAGGTTGTTGAGGATTTCTCTTCCACTCGAAAAAAGGGGACGCAAACAGGCCTCATGAAGTGTATCTTGTGTACTGGCAACCTTGTCTTAACGGGTTCTGGACTTTTCTTGTTGTCCGTTCAAGCAGAAAGTTGGATAAAGTGTAGCCCGAGAGGAACACGATTTTGAATCAGTGTTAAAAAATGTTTCTTTTTCCAGCTGAGTGCAGAACAGCGAAGCGAGATGTGTGACCTCAAACGGAGGGCGGTCCAGCTGGAGGTGGACAGGCAGAACCGGCAGAGGAACAACCTTTTGGCCCGGGTTCAGGACATACTGGACCAGGCTCAGGTCAGTAACACACTGTAGTCCAGGCTGATGTTTTATGAAATAAATGGGATATAGTTTAATCTTAGAAATGAAATAGCAGTTAACAGATAATATGCCACATCCAAACGCTTATAAAAGTCACACGGCATCTTTTCATAAACGTGTCATCTAAAATTCTCAAATATCCACAGATGTGACTGTGTTAGTCCCACGATAGAGCACAAAAACTGAATTACAGTCTGTCCCAGAATCTCTTGTGACATTTGCAGACTTGAATACAGGTTGTCTGACTCAACACTGTCTCCGGTAGCCTGTGCTGTTTTTCCTGATGTTGGCGCTTTTTCGTCAACTCAACATTCAAAGCAATGTCGTCCACTTGCAAATCAGCTCTAGTTACGAAATAACATAGATTTCTTTTTTCTTTTAATGTAATTTTCTGGAGACATTGGACATACGATACCCTCTGCTGGTAATTCTTCACTGTCACATTTGATTTGAGTAATTATTTGATGATTGGTCATCATTTCTTCCTATCTCTGCACAGACACAAAAAGTACCAAGTGAAGAGGTTGAACAGCTGCCAGTTACTAAACCTGCCACAGTCAGTGGCTACACCCTGGTCACTGACTCTCCTGGACTTCCCAGAGACCCTGGATTCGGGCTTCAGACAGATGATCAGCCTGCTACTGCATGCTCTGAGACCCCCACCCTCAATGGCTACAAGGCAGCGGAGGAAGTGATGCTGGAGAGGGAGGAGAAGAGTGAGGAGGACGAGGAGGAAGAGGAGGACATGAGTTTGGACAGTCTTCTTAAGAGATCAAGGGAGTATGTGAAGAGAGAGCAGAGTCAGCAGGGATCTAAAGTTGTCCACGCAGTCACCAGGACTCCCCCGCCTGAGACGCCCTCCGACAAGGAGAACAAGAGCTGCAGTCCCAAGGGGGACACAGGCGTTGAGTTTGGATTCAGTTTGCACCACAGCCCTATTGGCCCACCTCAGACCCAAATCCAGCATCAAACTCTGTATGAGCCCACTCCTCAGCAGTCTGGCCGCCTCTCACCTGCTCTACCTGACCGGTATGCTCGTCTCCCCAGTCCAGAGTCCAGCATTAGTCCCCGTCCACAGAGACGCAGACCTCGCCCAGTTTCTACAGGGAACATTCACATTTCGTTTCCCATCGGCCCAGCAGACCTTATCCCCCGAAGCCCAGGAAGGTCAGGGGAAGGTGCTGGAATGGCAGACTGGGGAGAAGCTCTCTCAGGGGCCACAAAGTCCTCCGATCCCTGGGGCTCAGCGGGGAGTGAAGGTGGAGCAGGTGTTAGAAACAGTGGCAGTCGTCGATCCAGCCACTGTGGTACCAGTCCAGTCCAGGAGACCTGTAGCCCTGTTAGTGCCTCAAGGCCCAGCCTGAAGGGACACCAGGAACATTTGGCTGCCGGATTTCGGCGGCGCTGCCACACCCTGGACAGCCAGCTGCATAGCTACCACTCTGGAGCTGAACACATAGACCGCAGCCAGGAAAGGGTTCCTCGCTTCATGGCCGGGGTCACATGGATGGCTCCAAGCTGGCGCACTCCTGCAGCCACCTTAAACCAGTCGTATGAGGTTGATAATCCTTCACCATCCCAGCTCATATTCAGGCTGGAGCCTGATGACCCTCAGGGGATAAATGACGGAAGGATCACACCAACCGTCCTCAGAAATACAGCCGAGGCACAGAGCAGCAAGACAGGTGAGTCTCTCTTGAACGCTTCCTGTAGTGCACACTGTGTTCACTAAAATCTACAGTGTTATTTAAATTGTGTCGTACCCATTGAGATCATTGTTTATGTCTTTAGGTTAAATATTGTGTGAGAGGCAGGGAAAGTGACGTAAAATGACTAACACAAAAAATATGTGTTTTTTTTTGGCGCATATCATCAGAGGAGACCCAGAGGCGAGCACAGGCTCTGGAGGACATGCAGAGGCGTCTGGAGGAGGAGCATGCCTTGCAGATGTCGCTGCTCCTGGCCGAGCAGGAGAAAGAGCAACAGCGCCTCCGTCTGGTCAGAACACGCAATCTATTCTTTTTTATGTTTAATTCATTTATTTACAAATTGCCAAGAAAAGCAACAACAAAATGTAGTCCATTTCTTTTTTTTAAAGTGTGAATTTAATATTTTTCTTACTAAAGCGTGTGTGCGTGTGTATTGCATGTGAACAGGAGCTCGAGGAGACAGAGAGAAGACTAAACGAGCAGGGCTGTGTGCGGCCGTTGAGCGGGGATGCTTGTGGGTGGACTTGTGACAGCTGTCTCGTTGTGAGCCCCTCCTGCCCAGGACTTAGCCCTGCCCACACCCCATCGGATAGATCACCTGGACACAGTATAGGTAACACTTCACCATGCTCACTTATTGCTGTGTTGGAGTGTGTAAGCGTTAAGTTATTTACTACTGCACAGCATAGGAATATCTGAGCGACTCTTCATTAAACATTCAAACAAGATAAATTGTCGCCATCACTAAATCGAAAGTTTGTTTCTTCCTTCAGGTTTTCCCAGTCCTGTAAGTTCCAGTGTGTCCTCTCCCTCTGTCCAGACTCCCGTCTATCTGTGGGGGACGACACGTGTGCTTGGCAAACCTCGAGCGAGGCTAAGTCAGGTGAATATGCCCAAGTAGACAGCGGTGTGTGTGACTATGTGAGTTTATAGGAGAGATGGTATTCTTAAACCTTCTCTATATTCCCCTGTTCACATTACCATCCTGTTACATCCTGTTTTGTTGTTCTCCAGGTTCTGACAGCAGAGCAGCAGAGAGCGTTCTGTCGAATTGGCGCCATCATTCGTGGCTTCCTCACACGCAGACTGCTCAAAACAGAGAAGGTCAAACACCTGCGGCAGACCATTGGGGTGAGATTACTCTCTTACACACACACACACACACAAAACACACAGTAAAATCATGTACACCCAGTCGAAAACACTGCTGTGAGTGTAATAAGAGTTATGTAATGAATGTGAGTGACTGTATGGGTACGCTCTGTGTATACATGTTCTTAGGACACACAGGAGTTCATCCGGTCATTCCAGACTGAAGCTCCACAGAGGAGGGGCACCTACTCAGCACAAGATCGCTCCCTACAGGAGAGAGTTAGAGCCCAGGTACGAATGTGTAATTACTGTTTATAGACAGCAGAGCTCCGTCTTTCTTTATGTTTTACATCTGCATATTTTGTCTCTCAGTTGCGCGCAGCCCTTTATGACATCTATGACATCTTCTTTGAAATGCCTTTGGGGGACCGCTTAGCATTGCTGCAGCAGGACAGGGAGCTCCGAGCAGAGAGGAAGCTACGAGACATGGTAACCTGAAAATACAGGCCAGCAATCAATCACATAGCCACATTTATTGACAAGAAGGTGCTGCTCTTCTTTGAAAGGAAAGTTCAGACCACTCTTCCACATTTTTGTTTCTTAATATGAACTTGGAAACTAGTTTGAGTTTGTGCTCACACTTGATGAGCACTAACGTAAGTTGCATGTTTTGGTGGGGGGGGGTTATATTGTAGCTTGCCAACCATGCAGGGCAATTTGTGTAATGCTTACCAAGGAATAATTCAAAACATTCATGTTTTTTTCTGCCAGCACAGCTACATATGTTAATATTAATATATCATATTTTAATTGGTATACCTGCTGATAATTGGTGGCACAAATAAATCATAATCAATCATCTGCATTTATATTTAGCACCTTAATTACCAAATGTACAAAGTCACAAAAACCCCCAAAAAAACACAAAAACACTGTTTTGTGGCTGCTTTATAACATGCTATTTCTTATGCTGTCAATGTCAGTGCTCCCATCATAAACTATATTCTTTACTGACTGGGTCAAACCTGCAGGAGAAAGCCAAGTGTCCCAAGGAGAGAGTGGTTCTCTCTGCTGCCACACAGAGGTCTCTGGACAGGAAAAAGAGGTAAGGAAAAGAGGAAGACAGCCTTACTGGTGAGATGTTAATGTTTTCAACATGTAGATAGTCAGTGTTATCTTACTGTATCTATTTGTTACTCCCTCAGGGTTGGCGAATCCCCAGCACAGGCTAGGAAGATGCAGCAGAAGCCAAAGAGCCCCACTACCAGCAGGTGCCAAACACAGTTTTGTTATTAGATTTGTGATTTATATTGTCTGGTTTCATGATTTATGCTGTATATTTTCTACTTTTTATTGTCCCCAGAAAATTTCAACATACATTTGTTTATCCTTCCCCAGAGTCCTGAAGCCAAGCCAAGGCCAAAATTCTCCTGTCTCAGGCCAGCTGAACCGCCAGGGGTGAGTTTATACCTTTGCTTGTTTGACCACCCTTACATTGTGGCCCCTTATCTTACAAGCAAAGTGCCTTATCTTGCTATTATAAAACAAATTGTAATAAACTGTAATATGTCAGCTTTAAACGATATCTTTAAAGTCATTACAGTGGCTGTTTCCTCTCAGGAGCTGGTACAGAAGAACCCCAGAGGAGAGAGTGAGGCGCTCAGACAGCCTGAAGAAGCAACACTCTTTGGGTTAACATGTGACTCAACATCCTCTGATGTGTGAACTTGAATTTTTAGACTTTTAATACAAACCTTACACCACTGAAACTCCAGTGAGTTGCTGCTAATAATAGAATTGTCTTTAATAATGATTGTATTCACTACCACACTTAAGCTATTTGATATACACCATCACAAGACCACTGTTCTTTGACTGTTGTAGCTTGCTAAAATAAGTTTTTAGTAGCAACTTCTGAGTGTTACACACAAAACTCACATGTAGCTTGATGTGGAGTATTTAATGAATAGGTAGGTACAATTCAATTTTAAAGTATCTGTACTGCAAACTAGAAGGTCAGAGATAAGGGAAATACGTTTT